AGTCCTATATAGTGTTGGCCCGTCCAGGAGGCTGCTCTTGCCAATGCCGAAACGTGCCAGACCCTGGCGTTGAAGCTCAACCAGGGGTTGTCTTGAAAASAGGCCCRAAATGRCCYGTGCTAAAACCCTGGTTTGTTGCCTGAGTTTCAGGGCGGGTCGAACTGATGAGGGCCTGAAAATGGCCCTCAGTTTCAGGCTGAAAAGACTCAGGGTCGAGGCCCGACCAGGAGCGCTGCACCCCAACTCTTCCAGGAGCGCTGCACCCCAACTCTTCCAAGGCGCGAAACCGGGTCAGCACGATGGGCTGATGGCGACGAGTGGCAGAGCGGATACACGAAGGAGGTGGCGCGGAGATGTCGCATCATGGAGTGAGGTGGTGTGGAAGCTGATGAGGGGGAGGAAGGAGGTGTGTGAGGGGTGAAAGCGACAGCGATGGATTAAGTGTGGGCAAGGTGGTTTTCTGCTGAGGTAGTGGGGAAGGTGGTTGTTAGGGTTTGTTTAGGTGGGTTGTTTTCGAGCTTCCTGGCGTATGGAGATGTATCATGCTGCCGCTGCTTATTTCCACGAGAAGGTGCAATACTAGGTAAGGACACGAGTTCTCCTCTTCTGGGACTGCCTGCAGAGAGCTGTTGGCGGCTTCAGCAGCCTGGTTCCGCGACGTGGCGTGCATAGGCGCGGCGGTCCGTTGTTGTCACCGTTCGGCCTTGACTGACCGGAGTGGTCGAATGGCGGCCGAGATGCCTTAAGGTCGGTGACGTGTGGAGGTGAGGTTCGGGAAGGGAGGGTCGTCTGTTGGGTACTCGTAGTTTTCTGCGCTGGTTTCTGGATTTTCTGATTTCTCGATTGACTGGGTATGAGCTTGTATTCGTTCTCGCCTAACGATCAACATGTTTTTGCTAATTACTTTTCTCGAGAGTATTCTGGGTATGATCTTGTACTGGTTTTTGCCTGATGATCAACATGGCTTTTGCTGATTACTTTTTTCGAGAGTATTTTGATAGTATGTCTTGTATGAATTGGTTTCTTTCTAATTGTTGTTCTCCTGATATTGTTCACAGTGTTTTTCTGTAATTCCTATTCATGTTCTTTGGTACATAGTTGCTTCCCTTAACGATGACCTTAACTACGATCATGATTACTCTCTTGATTTTATAGATTCGTGAGTCCAATATTGGACATCTTAGATATAATTCTTAAATCTCATTTTTACAATTTTCATTTCCAAAAGATGCTTCAGATAAATTTCCTAATTTTTGTTTCTAATTTTCAATTTCTAAAAGTACGCTTCCGAAGTATTTTTCTATTTGGAAAAATCTACGTCTGCAAATCTCGACTTCTTAGTCTTGATTATTGTCAATGCAAAGTTTGATTCTGATTGGCTTTTTTCGATAATTGTGTTTCATAGCTTGCCTGGGTCTTTGTACGGTATATTTGCGGCTTGCTTTGTGAATCTGTGGGGTTCTCCCTTAGGGTTGGAGCCCCTCCCCGTGAGGGTTTCACAAGGTGGGAGGTGTTACCCTTGGAGGGGGGAGGCGGTATTGAGGGATTGTTTTTTTCTGGGCCAGGCTGATTTAGGGTCGGATCAACACTGGCGATTGGGGAGGGAAGGCAAGGGGGTGGCTGCTTATTGCAGGGTGTGTGGATGAGAGGGCTGCCTTGCCTGGAGGGGGTGGGGCAGAAGGAAAGGGGGAACTTCAACCTATGAGGTATGCTCTAGGAGGAATTGTATGCCTTTTAGGGGGTTGAAGTGTCCGTTTATAGGCTGTTCCGAACTGGGGCCGAGAGGAGAGGGGGTGCCTCCCGGTGGGGGCAGTGCAGGAACAGGGGGGTTGCTTTTTGAGGGAAGGCGTAACTTAGATGGTCACACTGTGAGCTTATTTTGTGTTGTGGAGTCCCGGGTGAATGTCAGAACCTGCATCTGAAGAGAGGATAATCCCCTCCTATCCTCTTTTGGATGTGAGGAATTTTTCCTTTTTTTTTTCTTTTTTTTTTCTTTTTTTTTTCAGGTTGGTATCTGATTTTCCTATTTTTCAAAAAATTCTTAAAACTCTTAAAAGGTTATTCGGTAAGCAGGAAGGGGAAGGTCGGTTTTAGCAGGATGGTGCTCGGGCAGAGGACGGATTGGTGTTCAGGGTGGTAGGTCTATTAGAAGGGCGGGGTGGGGTGACAATTGTCGGTGCTGGAGCAGTTGTGCCGAGGGTGGAAGGCATAACCATCTTGTTCAACGTAGCTGAGGCCGGGGCAGTGACCCTGTAACTTTGGGGGTTGTGCAGCTAAGGAAGTTGTCGAGGGAGGAAGACACTTCCTGTCCGTCAGAACTAGTTCGGTCGGTACTGGGGCAGTTGGTGTTGTCCTGTCACCCTAGCAAGGGGGGTATGAGATCTAATGATTTATGGGACGAGAACTGAATACCTGGGCAGTAGTCTTCCCTCTGCGGTGCGGGGAAGGAGCTGGATCGTGGGTGGATTTCGTTTTCCTGTCTTTATGTTTCTTCTTAGTTGAAGCCAGGTAATGGCCCTGGTATCTCAAAAAAGGAGGGAAGGGGGGGAGCTAGAATTGGAGGATGGATGGTAGTAAGGGGACTCTCAATAGAGGAAGGTTGTTTGTCAAGGTAAGTAGGTTAAAAGGGCGATGTTGGGACGACACAGGCCGGTGCTGGAGCTTTTGCTCTATGACCTAGGGGGAGCTTGAGGCATGTGGAGTTATGTCGAGGGTGAAAGGCATAACCAGACCGTTCGACGTAGCCGGAACCTGTGTCAGGGGCTTGCCGCTTAGGGAAATGTCGAGGGAGGAAGGCACTTCCTGTCCGTCAGAACTAGGTTGGTCAGTACCGGGGAGGGTTGTGGTGCCCAATAACCCTAAGAGAAGGGGGTATGAGATCAAGTGAGTTCTGCTACGAGGACTGAAAGCCTGGACCGACGTTCCGTCTGCTGAGGGGGGGAGCTTTTGGATAGTAGGTAGTTTTAGTTTCGACCCCTCCCTCTCATATTTTCCCAAGCTTTTTCAGAGTTCT